GCCGCCGCCTGCGAGGGCGGCCGCGACGCGGACTCGCGCTACGCCAACCTCTTCAGGAAGCTGGACCTCAACGAGGATGGGCGGGTGGACATCGCCGAGCTGCAGACGGGGCTGCGCGCCATGGGCATCCCCCTGGGCAAGGAGGCCGAGGAGGTGGGTGCGACACCCGGGCCGCGCTGGGCTGGGGGACGGCGCCTGTGGGGCTCTTGGGGCCGGTAACCTGCCTCCTCCCCTTTGGGTGATTCTTGCTTTTCCTTCCCGGTTCGGCGTGCCTGCTCTGGGCGTGGGCTCTACGGAGGCGCCCTAAGGCTGTAAACGAAGTAACTGAAGTAAAAAACGTTATTAATAGAGCGGTAATGGCACTGCCAAGTGGGCTTGGCCCTGTGCATTCATCATGTGTCAGCGCTGGCCTTTCCCTGATTCTGATATTTGATAGCATGTTCCTGCTGCAGCGTAACAAAGGATGGGAACTTTAGGTCAGGGTAAATTATGGTTTCTTTGGGGCAACAGGTGAGGAAATCTTGTCTTTAGCATAAATAGTAGTAGGTTGCACAAGCAGAATCAGCTAATGAAGAGAGATGAAATGATTGCCCATGTGCAGTGCTTGATACAGAGACCCTTCTACTTTAAAAATTCAATGTTTTGTAATAGTGAACATTATGTCACAGGCCAGGCAGAGCTCTCACTTGTGGTCCCAGGTGCCCCTAATGTGATCAGCCTTAACAATTTTCTCTGTGATTTTTTTTCAGAGTTGTAGCTTTGTGAGTTGGTAAAATTTGAGTTGCCAAGCATTGCTGGTGTTGCACAGGAGCTGTTGTACAGCTGCTCAGCTGCAGTGCTGACTTATGCTGGAAGGTCTGATCTGCACCTAGAAAGAGTTCTCCAGGTGGCTTTGAATTCCTATCAGTGAGAATATAAAAAACTTAATGTGTAATTCTATAGGTAAAGCTATTTGTGTGGTAAGGCAAGATCAGACTGAAAAGGCAGGTTTTAGTTTAGTTTTTCAACTTCTTTATTAGATGCTGGTCACTGAAGCTGGTGTGTTTTCCTTCAGGCGACTCGGTTTTAAAAGTTCTTGTGCTTTCTCCTTGTTGTCTCCCGTTAGTAACCGGAAGAGTTTCATATCTCTTGGGTTTTGAATGAGACTTGTATGAATGAAAGTGCTAAGCAGGCTTTTACTTCAGTATTATTTCTGGTCAAAATCATCTTTGCAATGAGTGTGTTTCTTAATTTTTGGCTTATAAGGGGGAGGTGGTCTGGTCTGTTTGCTTATACAGGAGAGCTGTCATAGTAAGTGCATGCTAGTGGCATGCTTCAGTCCTCAGGTACGCATTGTTGAAAACCTGCTGTACCAGTCTGACTAACAAATTTCGCTTTTTTATTGAACAGGAGTGGAGTAGCTGACCAATTTTCTGACATATAATAGGGATGGTTTTTGAACACAGTTCCCAGAAAGCCTGATGACACAAAATGGCATGTGTTTTCAGTTTCAAGTTGCTTATGATCAAATCCTAGGTTGTTCTGTCTTTCTCCTGTCAGTGTGGTGCTTTCCATTCAAAGTGCAGATCTAAATATTTGTCAAATTTTTCCTAGTTGCTACAAGATAAAACTAGATTTGCAACCCGTGTAATGAGTTGAGGTAAGCTAGACTTGTGTGGTTGCAATGGGAGTAGGAACTGGGCGCCTTAGCTGCTTAACAACCACAGGCCAAACAAAATAAACCATGAATCATGTCACCAGTTTGAGGGGGGCGCAAGAGTTGGAGTGCACTGAAATATCTCTGTGTCCACAGTTTTAAATTTAACAGTGTACACAGCTTGAACTAGAAATGACTTGTGTTATGAGAGAGCTTCAGCAAGACATGCCTGCAGCTTCTTTTCTATTTTTATGTAGCTGATCTGCTTCCTATATTTTTCCTGAGTCTTGACACTGCCTTTTCCCACTCATTTCACTTGAGGTTCTAGGCTGATGTTGCAGATGAGTGTGGAAGTTGTATTCAGGCTACTGCTTTCCTGAGGTGGGGCTGGGGGGGAAGCCAACAAATCTAATACAATGTAATTCATTTCTACCATTTGTTTTAAAAAAATCAAAATCATTAATAAAATTAGTGGTTGTGGCTGTGTGCTTTTTTTGGTTCTGTGAAGGCAAAAGTAGTGTTATTTCAATATTAGGTTTTCAGGCTTTTAGGGTGTCTTAGATATAGGTCTGGATTAGGTTTCCAGAACACTTTTGTGGCCCTGGATTGCACTGCATAAAATAAGAGTGCACACAGGAGTGTGGGTCACTGTATAGTGCTGCTGGGGAGCACTGCTCTGTGGTTATTCTTTGGTGAAGGCCCATGTGAATATCACTACTTTGTTTCCCTGCAAAATCATCACCTTTAAGCTAAATGTTGGTGTTTTTTAGAGTTAATTTTCTCTCTTCTGAAATAGCATGTCATTCTTCTCTAAAATATGTACAGCTTCTTTGAAGGATACTAAGCTGCTCTCTATTTGAGTAATACATTCACGGCATGTTCTTCTTTCTTTCTTTTACACGCTTTCTTGATGGTTTTACTGGCGCTGAATGTGTGATAAAATGCTGCCAGGTGAAATAATGTAGGTAGGAAAATTGGTGTGCCTTGAGGTGAACCCATGTGATATATGTTGGGAGTAGGTTGAATGTCCTTCTTAAAGTATATATAGTTTTTCCATGGAACAGCATCATAGCACAAGCTGACAGGAGTCTTTTAACATGATCTGCCTCCAGTCGGTGTTTGACAGGCAAAAGTAAACCATTGAGAAATCTGAAATGCCTTTTGTAAAGGCTGCCAGCATGACTCCTGTTTTATATTGTAGTATATTATGTGCTGGGAAGAGATAACTTTTGAAACTTTACAAAAGATTCCTGGCCTAATATGTCAAGGTGGACAAAGAAGGAATTCAGTATGGTGACAATATCAAAGGAATTGCTGCAAACAACATTTACAGCCAGTGTGCAGTCTGGGCTTTGAGTAGTGGAGCTCTCCTGTGGAGATGCAAACTGGGTGCTGGGATCGGATCTCAAGTGATCTCATCCCATGTCTTCAGAATGCTGTGAGTCCTTGAGACTAGAGCACCATAAATGGTGCGAGTAGTTATATGAAGTACTATTTCTGTTCACCCATTCCTCCTGTTGCAATCAATCCCTATATAAAATCTGTGGGAGGTTAACACGAAACTTCAAGCATCGGTGTGCAGAAGGAACAGCCTGGCATTTGGGTACTATTTGTATATTGAGTCTAGGCATTAGGAGTAGCAAGATGTTATTAAATGAATAACCGCATTTGGGGAACAACCTAAAAATCTTATTTGGATTGACTTTGTATCCGATTTTGATGTACATGGTAACCACAGAACTTTTTACTTTAAGGCTTCTTTAAATGAAGATACAGTGTGAAGAGAAACCTCTGTGTAAATCAAAACAGGGTCCAAATAGACTAAAATCACAGCATGGTTTGTTTGATCAAGTCTGTTTATGAATTTCAGTCCAGCTAGGTCTAAAAGTATTCAGAGCACTTGAAGTGTGTTACTGCGTTGAAAACCGAGAAGGAATTGGTAGTTCTGTCACACAAATGCGAGTTCTGCGTTGCCTTGCAGCGCTGGATCTGTTACGTGAAAGGAGATGTGAGGGTAGGGCTGGGTGGCATCCTTCCTTCTGTGCAAGCACAGCTCTGTAGGGTTTTCGAGACTGGAGCTTGCCATAGCTGTTGGTGGTCAATAGAGCATTTCGCTGCGCAGGTACCCCTTCGGGGACTGAGCTGAGTACATCTTTGTTTCATTTTTTAATTATGGTTTTTGCATTTCCTGCATCCCTTAACTTCGCTTAGTATAAGACTTGGCAAAGCTAGAGTCTAGCAGAGCGAATCAACTGACGCCTCTGCGTTATACTGTAGTTTGGCTAAAAACATGTCGAAAGCAGCAATTACTTCAGCAACATAAGGAATCAAGGCAGGTTTTGAATGTATAATATCTACACTTGGGAATCATATCATACCATGCATGTTATAATTTATTAGGTAGATATTAGGCTAGAAAATAATGATAGGCATTACAGTAATTTCACAGCATTGTATACTTGTACATACCTGTACTCTTTCTTGTCCTTGCTGCACTTCATGTGGAGTGTGTGGGTTTTTTTCTCCTTACTTTAATAGTACACCAAAACCAGTACAATAGGCTTAGACTAGATAGGGATCTCCGGTTTTTAACAAAACAAATTGTCATATCACATGGATGTTGAAAGCTGGCACCACACGTGCTTTTCAGGTCGCTTAATGGTTGCTTAATGTCTGATTTGGGTAACTTAATTGTGAAATTAATTGTAAATGAATCATGTCAACTCATTATGTGATTGTAATGGCTTTAACAGGCATGTACTCAAGTCTCCATATGAAGGGGAAGGATGAGTGTAAAGTGTTTGTTTTCATAATGTTTTTAACATTCAGTGAAGCAAAATATGTATTAGATATATTAATACGAACTGGGGTGGGCAAAAGGGTTTTTGAGCAGTGGTGAGTTGCAGTGAATGATTGCAGTTCTGCAAACCACAAGAATGCCAGGCACCAAATTAGGGAACCTGAACCCCCCAGCCCTGAAAGGTATCTTCCTCACCTGCTGAAAAGCCTTGCAAAAGCATCATGTTGAGCTGGTAGTGGTCATCCAAGATAGGTTGGGGTGGGAGTACCCCTCTAGTAGAGAAGTTCTTCCTTAAAAGTCAGGAGTTATCTGTGTAACTTACAGGGAACGATGAATGAAGGTTTGAAGGATAGTTTGTGTCTCCTATTTATGCTGCTTCAAATTCCTAGAATCTTTACGGTTCTAATTCATAGTTTAGAGTTGAGGGAGCTTGTCCAGGTCCTGAAGGAGCAGCTTCTGCAAGGCGTGCTGATGAGGCCTGCCTGTCTTCCTTTTTAGGCTCCTTTAATAGAGATTCTATGTCCTGAAAGGAGCTGGTGGAAATACTGCTCTGAGCCCTTTCTTGCTGTAAGAAACAGTGGTGCTAAGGGCAAAGTTAAAGGTCCCAGCTGGTAGTAACATCTCTGTTGATACACCTGGCTCTTAACTTCTGTCTGTGACAGATGGCATGTGTTTAAATGTTGAAAGCCTCCTTTCAGGAGGAAGAATAAGCAGGAAGGGAATAAATCTGAATGCAACGTGTAGATAATCTGGGAGGTCTTTGGAGGTTGTGCAAATGCCTCTTCTGTTCACAATGGAGCTTTGTGTGGAAATGCTTGAGCTTGAGTAGCAGCCTGTTCTGTTAGTGTGGGGTGTGCACTCCCAGGTTGGGGTAACCGCTACAGTCAAAATCTCAGGCCATTTCACTTGGGGTCGGATTTATCTCTTGGCTGGTTTAGTGTGACAAGATGGGTTTACTTGTTTACTGACTTGTGGGTTTCAGTTTTATTGTTGTTATGATGAATAACTTTGTATCTTGCCAGAAATGGATAGGATAAGGATCACATTTAGCTTTTGTGTTGGAAGGTATCTATCTGATAGAGGTGGGTTGCATATACTTGAAGAGTGACTGAATCTGTCTTTCAGTAAGTTTAAAGTCTAGGTTGCAGGTCTATGTATATAAGTGTGTCACTATGCCTTTTTGGAGGGAAAGGGAGGAATAGAAAAAGGGGAAAAGAGAAGGGAGTGATGTGATGGCTTTTGTACATAACACTCCTTGTTTTCTTTTAAGAAATGTCACATTTTAATGTCTCTAAACATGAGGCTATGTGGTATTTGCAACTGTGTCCTGTAGAACTTTAGTCATAGATGATATCAGTGGGTTACTGATTGTGGCAATTACGAGTCAGTGTTGTTTGTTTTTATTTACATCCTGTAAGATAACATGGTAGAGAACTAGACATGCCTAGTGATTTCTTGATCGATTCCTTCCTTTTAAGCATTCTTCAAATTGTAGTGGGAAATGCAATAAAAATACTGGTTTTAAGTAATATATAATATGTGGGGAATTTAAATGTCTGAATAAAAGCATGAAGTTTTCCAGTTCTCTGTCTCTGTTGTAGCTATGAATGTGTAAAAATTCATAACATCACTGCAGAGTAATAAATAATTCTGCAGGCTACTTAAAGGGGTCAGTTTTTGGATTTATATAAAACTAGCCTGTAACTTTCGTGGTTTTGTCCATATATCTGGTTGAGCCTTACACACCTAAATTCAGAAAAATAGAGCTAGTGGAGGACTACCAGAAAAGCAGGAGTTCAGCACTGTAGTGATCTTTTAAACAAGACATTTTTGCAGTGAAACTTTTCTTGGTCTACCTGTGACATTTCTAGTTGGAGCTGTTTTGCAGTGCAGAGCTGTGAAAGTGTCTGGCTTAAACTGTGCCAGAAATGAAAAAATGTAGCAGCATTTGTTAAAAACAAAGTGTGTGTTGGGGGAAAGCAGCGTGTGCCATGACACTAATAGTTCAGCATAGGAACCTTTCTAGACAGAAGGTGGGAAGCCCAATGGCATTAAAAGCAAGATCATACAAATTCTGCCTTCCTAGTTCTGTAAGTAATTAGTGGATCTTGGTAGGGTCACCATATCAGTATCTGGTTGCTTATTGTTATTGCTTTGGTTTAAAGTTTTCAGGCAATGAAAAAAAATTGCATGCCTTGGAAAAATATTTCTGTGTCTGGGGCTGAATCTGTGTAAAGGTGTGGTCATCCGATGTGTATTTTATAATGAGAACTGGCAGGTTATGTGCCAAGCAAATTAAATATCTCAGTTTCTTAGGACTTTGAAGCATGGACCAGAATCTGATTTGGGTCGTGCCCTATCAGAAGGATACTTATGCTAAAATGCGTTTAAATCTCCATCCAAAAAGTTGGTGAACAAGGAAAAAGAAAAGGGGCAAATTGTTATAGCAGTATAAAATGTGGTATATTGCAGTAAAAAGTAACCCAGAACAGCAGAGTGATTTCATAATGAAATGAAGTGGGGATTGTAAAATATGGGAACAGATTGCTCAGAGGTTGAGGAGCTTCAGTCCTTGTGGCTGTGAAGTACTCCACTGGACATGGCTGTCAAGAGCCTGGTCTAATTAGAGCCTCTTTAAGTGATGGTTTGGGCGAGATGAGTGGTAGAGGTCACTTCCAACCTGTATGTTGCTCTGAAAGGTGGCTTGCTTTGGCAGCTGCTGTTTCTTTTGGGCTCTCTGTAGGTTCAAGGGAGCCTGTCGGTACTCACATCAGTTATGCCTGTGGAAAATATAACCCCTAAGAGGCAGTTTCTGCCATCCAAGTGGAAGGCAAAACCCTTTGAGTGTTCCTATGTATTTCACCAACCTACCAATTACTGGCTTTAATCTGAAGTTTTAACACATGAGCAAATAGTACCTTTTATACAGCGTTTGTATGAACTTTTAGATTTTTAATGTGAGCAAAATAAATGTCTGCTAAGGATATGTGTGCCTTTTCGTTCCTTGTCACTTCTGTTCTGCAGCACTGAGAGTGATGGAGGCAGTTTGAAGTTTGCAAAAGAACTAAAAACAAAAGTGGGGAATGAAGAATAGGTTTGTGCTTGTCCTTTTCTAACTCCTGCTGTATGAATAAAATCCTCTTATTTTTCAGGTAAAATGAAAGGTGCCCCCATTGCCTGCTAATTGCCAGCTCTCTAAACCTCTCAGGAATTTCTGTTTTATTTGGCTCACATCGTGCTCAGTAACAGAGATTTTGTAATTGGAATTTAGTTGGTATTTCGTGGTAACTGAAAGCCAGAACAACACTTCCCTTGTTCTGTATTTTTGTTTGGGTATTTTGCATAGCAGTAGAGAATAGGAGCAATTTGTTCTGATAAGAATTCAATCAAAATATGTATGTGTCTCCCCATAACTTACCATTTCTCAGTAGCTGTGCAAGTCCCAGAAGACGCTTGGATCCAATGGTGTGAGGTGCAGTGCATGCATGGAGCAACATGTATTCAGAAGAGTGTTTCTGAAGTATGAACTCCTCTCTGATCTGAGCCTATTGCTATTCTGTTAGCATTTCTCTTTTGGAGGGTTGGAAAGTTATGATAAGGAACCCATCCTTACACATGTATACACAGAAGCTGTTTCTATGTAACGGGGAATTCTGAACAGGCTCACCAAAATGGCAAGGGCATTGGAGGAAACTGTTTTTTGTTTTGTTTTTTTTTTTAATATCTTACTGAGAAGCTGCAACTGTGCAAGGCAGTGTGTGTGACATAGATGATGTTTGGCGGAACATCATCTGGGTTCTAGATGTGCCATGAAGGGCCTTGAAATTTTTCGCAAATTTAAAGAACAAATTCTGCCCTCAGATTGGTCTTCTGGCCACTGAGAGCAGCTCTTGCACAATCTGCTGTCCCCTTAAGGTTTCATACACTGTTGGGAAAGAAAACACAAGAGCTGATGCTACGTGAAGTGATGGGGCACATTTTCCACATCAGCTTTGTCCTAGAGCAGGTATATGGGGTTGTTTGTCCATCTGCAGTGTTTGGCCAGAGCTGCTTTGCTCCCATATTGTCAAAGGTGTCAGATGTGGACAGGCGTGAGAGGACATGGAAGGTGCCTGTCAGAGCGGTGCTGCCATGCTGTGCCTCATCCTTGCTGCTGCCCTTGTGCTGGCCTAGAGCCCAAGCTGGTAAATCCTGTCGAGCCTCTTAGCCTGGGTGTTGCTCTTCAGGGCCTTGGTATTGAGGAGGATGGCAAGATATCTGGTGCTGCAGATGAGCGTGTCCTGGGCAGCTGGACCACAACACTACTCAGTATTTCAGATTTGTTTCCTGCTGTGCTAAAAACTTTGGTGTCCTGTATTCAGCTTGCAAATAAGAAACACCTACTTATAAAATTAACAAGGCAGTTTCTGGGAAACACTGATGTGAAGATAAGAGTTGCTAGAGGGGATATAAAATTGGGTTTCAGTCAGGGTTTCAGTCTTGTGTGGGAGAAAGCACTAATTGCCCATGCTCTGGGTGGTGGAAGTGCTGGTCAGGCAAACCTGTTGTAGTGTTTGGTCAGCAATTAAATGGGTATCTGCTACCTCTGCATTTATCTTTCCAATTTAGAAGTGATAAGCCACAAAGTTAAAGAGGATAGGCAAGACCATATTTGTTTAGTCTGGCATATTGTAGGTTTCATGTGCAGTGTGAAAAGTTACAGGCTTCAAGTTGGGCTCTTTCAAGGTTTTTGTCATGTCCCTGCTCCTTCCTATCACGTCCTCAAAAGATGTGATACGTATAGCTGCAATTTGTCAGTGTGCTTTGCTTTTTTCATATGGAAACAGTAAGAATGTGTTTAAATTTGGGGGAAAAAAAGTAGCCCTGAAATGTAGGCTTAGATGTTTTCCTCATTTAATGCTGCCTCTCTCCCCAAACTGACCAATATGATCCTTCGTTTTTAGTGTGCTATATGATGCTGTTTTTGGTTTGTAAGATGCTATGGTTTAGGATAGTCAAATGTCTAATTTTCTCCCAACAGAAAATTTTCAAAGCTGGAGATACTAACCAGGATGGGCAGCTAGATTTTGAAGAATTTATGCAGTATCTTAAAGATCATGAGAAAAAAATGAAACTGGCATTTAAGAGCCTGGACAAAAACAATGATGGTATGTCTTGTCTTATTTTATTTGTTCAAGCATTATTTGAAGTAATTATGCTTTAAAATTTGTTGCCTTCATTTGTATTCTTTTCTAAACAGAAGACAAAATTTGCAAATATGATACTTTTGTTTTCCCTAAAGAACATATTAAGGACTAAAGTAAATTGAAATAATTTTAAAATTATTTCAGTCTTCTCTTTGTGTATCTCCCAGATCTATTGACCTGAGTGCCTTTGCTCCAATGATGCAGAAATTATGAGGGATTTTCTAATTATCTGTTAAAGATTGTTTGTAGTTATCTCATTTAGTTGCATTATTTCAGTATACTTACCTTTGCTCCATCCTTTTAATGGGATGGATCAAATAAACTATCTCAAATTTATATAAAATATTCTGTGCCATTGTATAATAGCCATATGATGGAATCTAGTGAGTTCCAAAATGCAAGTGTGTTAAGCTACGTGTTTTAAATGTCTTCTTTTTTTTCTTTAAATGTTCTAAGGCAAAATTGAAGCATCAGAAGTTGTCCAGTCCCTCAAGATACTGGGTATAAATATTTCGGAAAAACAAGCAGAAAAGATTCTGCAAAGGTCAGGAATTACTCTTTCTTAATGTGTTTTTGAGCTTGTGTATTTGTCCTTGTATTTTACTTATGTATGTTTTTGTAGTACAGTGTGAAGATGGTTCAAAAGACAGACTATTAAACAACACTTATTCTTAGATGATTTTGGAATGACTGTATTCAAATGTTTCCTTTGTACCTGAATAGATAATTGTTTATTAAAGTCTTTTAAAAAAGAGAAGAATAATTCTTTGTGATTTCAGACTCTCCTGTTCATGGTGAAAGCTCTAGGATGCTGCAGTAAGCCTCAGGTTTGATAGTTTGATATTTCTTGCTTTCCTTGGATATTGCAGTGGAAGAATTGGCTCTTTTATTAAAAAAAAAAAAATCCATTACGTTTGCTGTTTCTTGAGGACTACACTGTGTAGGGTCACAGGACTTGAAGTCTATATTCGAATAGAATAACTGTTCTCACTTCTTTCATTTTTTCAAGTGTGTTGAATTTTTTTAGTGTTAGGAGGCCTCAGCTCTTAACTCTGATCAAGAACAACTTCTGTGTTCTCATGTGAACTTTGTCCTCTGGCATTCCAGATGGGAAATTTACAGGTGAAAGTGACTAGATGTGAACAGTTTGTATTTTTGTGGGGCTGTTTTGCCTCTCTGGAAGTGTATCTGATGGACAAGTGGTCCATCTGACAGGGTTTGCATGGCACTCTCCTGTCTGTAGAAAAGGCTGAGTCAGTCATTCCCCATCAGCCCTGCTAGCCTGGTGTTTCTGTCAAATTATTTGAGCTTTGTCAGACAGATTGCAAGAGTGCACCTTTGGCAGTCCTTTCCTGCAATAGCCAAAATATCCCTTAAATACTGGGATTTTAAAGGTTGAAAGGATGTAGACTGGTCTTTGTGACCTACCCAGTCAAGTCCATTACTGGACTTTATGAACAGGAGTAGAGTATGTTCCCTCTTGTGTGCTTTCAGTGGAAGAGAATAGTTGAAAAATAAAATTTTAACTCTGAAAGGTTATTGATGACTTCAGTTTCTTTACAGAAATTCTCCCATACTCTCTTCATTCTTGACTGATAAGAAGTCTAGTCACTTGTTGAGTGTCTGGTTCCTGGAGAGGAGTGTCTTACCCGCTTTTCTGAAGCAAAGGCTGCAAATGTTGGTAGACTGAGGTGTTACATTACATTTCTAAATGGAACATGTTAATTCCTTTCAGATTAAAAAAGCAAAATCACCACCACCACCAAAAGAAACCCTGCCACTGTTTCTTTATCTGTTTTTTTTTATATCTCTTTTCAGTATTGATGCTGATGGGACAATGACAGTGGACTGGAATGAGTGGAGAGATCATTTTATGTTTAACCCAGCTGCAGATATTGAAGAAATAATTCGATATTGGAAGCATTCCACTGTAAGTTCAAATGTACTTTAATTTTACTACAGCTCTTAAATCTGTCTCTACTAGAATAATTTTCAATATTGATAAGTTTCATAAATGTTAAATTTCAAGTGTATTTATATTAAAGGTTTTACTTACTTCTTAATTTCCTGTGTTTAAGTAGTGTAGAATGGTGTGCACTTCTGAATAAGAACTCTGCCAGCAAAATTCAGATTAAGGAAAACTTTACTGTTTTGTGGAATATCTCCAAAGGAAGAACTCAAGAATGATACTTTTTTTCAACTTTGCAATACATTTTTGTGTGTTGAAACAAATTACTTCTATGTTAGTTCAGCAATTGCATTGATATTACTCTAAAATCAGCAGTTTCTTTACTGATGATTTTATGTGCTTATATGCTCATTTGTGCTGTCATATTTCATTCAGGATGATTAGGATCTACTGCAATATACTATCCATTGTTTAGAAAACTTTGTCAAGTTACTCCTGAGCAGAGTGCTTATGAAAGAGTGATTGACTTAAGAGAGCAAATAATTAGTAAACTGTCAGCCAGTAATTGTAGTATTCGATGCTAAATATCCTTCTGTAGATATCTGGCGTAATCTGTAAAGTAGGGAGAGAGAGAGGTGTTTTTGAATATAGTAAGACCATTGATACCAGTCAGCCTTTCCATAATAAAAAGTGACTTATGAGACCTGATGGCTTTGAGTGGTTCACACTGCCCAGCCCTGGCCCAGAGGAGGTGCTTGCCAAGAGGGAGCTCTCTGTTTCCTGGGGAAAGCAGCTGGAGCACTTTGAGATTAGAAAGTCCTGGCCCCAGCTTGTTTAGTGAAAAATGCCTAAGTTCTTTATTTTTGTATTTAAGAGAGAGATCTCTGTTGTTATGGAGTGTCCTTGGTTACCTCCAAGGAACAAGGTTAGAAGTCTGTGGTCTCTGCATGTGGCAGTCAGCTGACAACATGGTTATCACAGCAAACCAAAATCCAGCTACACACTAACACAGCTGGTGTTTCAGATAACAGCAGATAGGAGGCCTCACATGCTGGGCTGTCTTTGAATTCTGTTTTCTATTGCAAAATTTTAATTCCTGTCAGACTCTTCCCAGTAGAAAGCTACATTGGCTTTATAAGTATTATGAGTTGGTAGTTATCCCCAAATGTAGCATGTTTTCTCTTTGTTATGCTAACTTTGTTATATTATTAAAAGCTGCTGTTAGGACCCTCTAGACACCAGTCTTAACCTCTGGCAGATATTTTTAATGTCTGTGACTGTATTTTTAAGTTATGATTCATCTTTTAATTAATTGACTCTTTGTGGTTGACAATTTATCACACCTTATTTAGAAGCCATGAATGTCAGTAAGATAAAAGGATTTTCTGATTAATCTGTTTTATATTGAATATATAGAGGAATTAGGGCTCTTCCCATTCATGCAATAATCCATAGCTATATGTGTAATCTGCATCCTGAGCAAAACAGTTCTCCCTACTTGTACAGGTAGGGAACTTGGAATAAATGGGGAGTCATGTCTGGATTTTAACTGTGCAGTAGTAGAAACAAGTTAACATGCCTTCTGGTCAGTACTTTTTATAAATTAACAAAACATTCTTGCCTCTTTAAACGTTTAATTTATGCTTACTTTTGGCTTCTTATTGATATTATAATTTTTCTAACTTATGCTTATGAATCAGATCAAGAAGAAAGATTATGTTTAAGTGATATATAAAATTACATGATCTTATTTTAGCAATGAAAGTAAGGCCTGTAAGAATATTTTCTGATCAAATTGAATGATAATGCAGGTGTGTTCCTGTTAATGAATATTCAGTCTTATGTTAGTGATTTTTGTTCAGTAAAAATTTTTCAGAGGAAATGATGATATGAAATGTAATAGATTAGTCAAATTAGTTCTTTTTTGAGTTAATACACAGCAATTTTTGGAAATTGAGTATCTATGTAGGTATATCAGCCATAATGATGTTATTTTAATATGTCAGAAAAAAGCATATATGTGTATGAGTAAACTACCAGTAGAGAGAAATCTCTTAATCCTTTGGAGATTATCTAACTAATCCCAGAAGAGTGGTTGGTGAAAGGTTAGCAGTAACATGTAAGCATTTGAGCTTCAGTGCTGGATGAAAAGGTTTACAGAACATGACAAAATGTCTTTGCCTGGACCGGGCTCAAGAGGTATTTGACATCATTTTTAATGATGGTAGTGCAGTATTTGAAATGGTGGGTCTTTGGCCTTCTTACTCAGTATTTTACTGAGTATTGCATAGAAGTCATAATTAACATTTTACTTGTATATCCTTTGGTGGTTTTTAAATTGGAATGGAAACTGTTGATAAAATTTGAGGTGAAATGGGATACTTATTTGCTCATCTTTGCTTTGGGCCCTAATAGGTATTGGATATAGGAGATAGTCTGACTATTCCAGATGAGTTCACTGAAGAAGAGAAGAAGACCGGGCAGTGGTGGAAACAGCTGCTGGCAGGAGGAGTGGCTGGTGCTGTTTCTCGAACAGGTACAGCACCATTGGATCGTCTCAAAGTGATGATGCAGGTAGGTGCAGCGTTTAAGAACTTCATAGATTTCAGCATATTATTTCAGCTGCTACAGAGAGTCTTGCAGAAAACTGATAGCCAAGCCCATCTCAATTCTAGAAAGGTGAAGTTATGTCTTTAATTTCTGTATTTTGTTTTATGTTGGCACTTGATTCATAACTTCCTAAAGGTATATCTAGTGATCTATGGATTGATGCCCTGTTCTTCTAAAAGTGTCTTTTCCACCCTGATAAGGGCAATAACATAAATAAAATAACATGGTCCTTTTACTTTCTGATCAGAGCAGTGTTCTTAAGCATGTGTGTGTTTGTTGTTGTCATTGTTTTAGGTTCATGGTTCAAAATCAAGCAAAATGAACATAGCCAGTGGTTTTAAACAGATGGTGAAAGAAGGTGGTATCCGCTCTCTTTGGAGGGGGAATGGTGTAAATGTTGTGAAAATAGCTCCTGAAACTGCTATTAAGTTCTGGGCTTATGAACAGGTAGGATGTTAAATGGGTAAGGCAATTAAAAATAACTGAATGAAAATAATAGTAAATTAGATACTATATCATATGCCTCTTCAGGGGCACAGTTGTAATATGTGGGAGTTCTTGTCATGGATTATGATTTTTGTCACACTAGTTAGGAGTGAGTTTTTGATCAGATTTCCAATCGTCTAAATTTCTGTTAATAGAAAATGTAGTAGTCGTCCAATTTTACACTTATATGATGAACACTAAGAAACTAAATCTGTTGTAGGTATTAAACCGTCCTCTGCTCTTGTTAACTGTATTGTGTAAATACCTCAGCTTTTGTTTCAAAGTGGTAACATCTTTAAATCTGCCATGTTGTGCTGGTATGACTCGTATAGATTCTCTTTAGGTCAAATGTCATTGTACTATATAAGATGTCCTTACCCAGGATTTCAGAGTTATATTTACCTCTGAATCAGCTTTACATAGCATGTTAGGGCCTAATCCTCCTTTGGACTCTAGTTTTAGTGTAGGTAACAGATTTTTGATTTTGTTCTGTAGGTCTTGCTGGAAGCTTGAATAAAACGAAAGTTCCATGTTGCATGTCTCTATACTATTCTTGAGAAAAGAGGCAACAAAAAAGTCAAGTAAATATTGGAATATTGCAGGATTGAATGACAGATTAGTAGATGCTTGTAACATAGCTTGAAAATATTCTGTACTGTAATTCTGCTTCTTAGGATAATTCATGCTTCTCTTATAAAACAAGCATCATATGCTTTTCTTTTTAATCTATGCAGTACAAGAAGATACTCAGTAAGGATGATGGAAAGTTAGGCACCATTGAAAGATTTGTATCTGGTTCTTTGGCTGGGGCAACAGCACAAACTTCTATTTATCCCATGGAGGTAAGTAACAATCTGCTCACATTAGAGAAACTGGTAAATGCTGTGTTCATTTCTGGCCTAGAGCCCATTTTGCTCTATAGCACAAAGTAGTGTAGGAATAGTGCCTATATCCTACTATTTATTTTTACTTTGGAACTTTTTTCGGAATTTTACTAGTAGATGTTCTGAAATGTAGTGTATTAGTACATTACTGATACTTGTCACTTTTCTATCTATTTGGCTTTCCTTTTTTTTTAATTAAATTGAGATCTTTAAAAGCTACTGGGAATTTAGATAATGGTGTCATTTCTCTCGTTCTACACGAACCAAAAATTAGATGTTTATGTTATGTGGTGACTGCACTCAAAACTTGCAGTCCAAGAAAATCTCTATTCGGGGCAATATGGCTTTTAAGGCCTAGTGCAGGAAATGAAAATCAGGAACACATTAAAAAATAAGTATTTATTAAAGTTATTTTCTAAATTGCACTTAAATCTTATTCCCTGTATGTGTCCCTGCAAGAAAGGATCTTGTTTGGAGCAAAATTGACAATGTTCTATTGTATGGTGGTTGGAAGCTAGGTCTGTGGTGGAGGGAGTATAAAATAGCTACATTTGATAAAACAGCTGCAGGTTGGTGGATTAAATGCTCCATTTTCTCTGTAGAACATGTGTTATTATTTATGTTGTAATTTAACTACACTTACTCTGTTAACTGCTGTAGAGTAGCTATTTTACACCTTGTGTTTTTTGAATGGAAGTAAAACATAATTTGTTTACTGTGGTTTTTCCGCTGAGTTTTTGTTTCTGTGAGAATTACTAGAATGTACATTTGGGCTGGATTTAAATCTCGATCAACATCAAGATTGTAGAACAAGAGAAAACAATATAAATATCTCTTTCATGAGGAGGGAATGTTAGTGGGAATAAACCTGGTTGTCTTGATTGCTAACAGTGATAGTGATCTCTTTAAACCAGATCTTTTCCATTAGATGAGTTGAATCCCAGCTGGTTTCCGTGCACAGAGGTGTTATGGAATAGTTGAATTGTTATATTGATCACCTGGATTCTACTGAGCAGTTCAGTCTTCTATTCTACAAGAAGACAGTCTGGTCGTTTTAGTGCAAAGATATAATTCTGACCTAGAATTGCCTTTTTTAGCTTTTCTGAGAAATACCCTAAGTACGAGGAAACTCCTAAGGAAGCTACAGTCTTATGAAACTTTAAAGTAGGCCAATTTTTTTCTCTGGAAATTCCCTCTGTGGTTTCCTTTTGGATTTTCTTCTTCATTTTTGTCCCAAAATGCTTTATATACTTGCATTTTTAATCAGGTGCTGTGCTTTAATAAAGAGAAGCAATCTTTATGCCACTTAATTAGCTCTCAGAAGATTGTGCTTTTTGAAAAATTATTTTCTTAATATCCTTTGCTTTTCCCAGGTCGGTTTTATGACTTGCTGGTAAGTTAATACTGTCACTTTAGCTCTTTAGCAGTTCTTAAGCAGTTCTTTAGTTGCTGCTATCACTGTCCTTGCCAATGCCTTCAAACTGATCAAATTCTGTCTGTGTTAACTAGGAAAAAACTGTCTTTCATCAGGATGGAAATATTTTTTTTTGACAAAATAAAGACTTATTAGCTAGTGTTTGTTAGGATTTACTATTTTTCGTGAAGGGTAAAATCTGAAAAACTTACTGCTAACCAAGCCTTAATAATCTTTGTTATAAAGGAGACTTGAAGCAACAAAGTATAAGGCAGTTCCAGGTAATAACTGCCTAGGCAGGAATTCATAGTGCTAGTTTTCCTGTCTTTCTAAATAGCATTAACAAATACTTACATAACTGAGGATTCTTTTCTTTTTTTTTGTTCAGGTTTTAAAGACCAGATTGGCTGTGGGTAAAACAGGGCAGTATTCTGGGATGTTTGACTGTGCTAAGAAAATTTTAAAAAGAGAAGGTGTGAAGGCCTTCTACAAAGGTTATATTCCTAATATTCTGGGGATAATTCCTTATGCTGGCATTGACCTTGCTGTTTATGAGGTGAGTTTAGATCAATGAATAATGTGACTTATCTAATGTACAATAAGGTATCAGTGCACAGATTTGTAAAGTGTTTGTAGTGTTGCAGTTGCCTCCAAATTAAAATGCATAAATAAAACTTCCTGAGATCTTAGTCTAGACCTTAACACTTTACTTGTTACCCTTCCCCAGAGGAGAGCTTGTACAGGTAAGCCCTTACGAAAAGGTTTCATGTAAGCATACAAGGGTCCTTTCTTCTTGAAGCATCGAATAAGAAGGCTTCTCATCAGGAAGCATTATGGACTTTGGCAGTATGACATACTTGCATGTTTATGCACTCCACTTGGCCTGGAGGAGCTTACCCATTCTATAGCAAACCTAAGCCTAAGATCAGCTATACTTGTATCAGGTTGCCTACAGCTGCAGTTATAACTGCTAATACTTTTTTGACTCCTTTTCTCTGATAATAATCTAATTACATATCTGTGCACGTCACCAGAATTCTTGCTAACTGCCATCGTGTAGTTTCTGGGGTGAGTTCAGAATGCTGCCCTTTTTCATCTCAGGAGAAATTTGGTCTCTTACATGCCAGCTGGCACAGGTGGGTGTTTTATTACCTTAGATGCTAGATGGTGGTTAAAACCTGCCAAGTAGTTCAGATGCACATACAGTGCAGGCTCTGCTCTGCAGTTTGCACCTCTCCCTCTGCCTGGGGTGACATGCCCAGCTGTGTGAGGTTTGTTGCAACCTCTGCAGCACAACTCTGCTCTTCTCCAGGATTCCCGGGTCTAGAGTGTGAGCACTGTTACTTCATGCTGCTGTGGCCACATCCTTTAGGGATTTCTGTGCTAGGCACCAACTGCTCTAATCTAGTTCAAGGCCTTAGCTGTGTGCTTAACTGAGCACTGATCAGTTCCGTACCTGGGGACTTTAAAGGTAACCATGTTAGCATATAAGCTTTACAGTTTGAGCCTTGAAAGTAAGGAGGTTGGTGCTTTGCAGGATTGAACCTATAATAAATCTTATTTATTTGTCTTGAATGCAGGTGTCTTTATGATTCATTTTCTATCTTGGCAGCTCTTAAAGACTACATGGCTAGAACACTATGCATCAAGCTCTGCCAACCCAGGTGTTCTTGTATTGTTGGGATGTGGTACCATTTCGAGCACCTGTGGGCAGCTGGCCAGCTACCCTCTGGCTCTTGTCAGAACACGCATGCAGGCTCAAGGTGAGACTTCTTGCACTGGAAGTCACGTACTTGGGATGATTGTGGCAGGGATATAAAGAAGATAAAAAAATATTTTTTCAAAAAGTTTTATCTGGAAAATGCTTCTTATGTTAGTCCCTTCCTTTCCTCCCCCAACACTGCTTTTCCTTACCATGCTTGATTCAAATGCCAAGTTATGAATGCAAGTGCTCTCTGTATTGTAACACTGAAAGCTCATGGCACAGTGTGAGAGTGCACTTGATAAAGGTGAGAAGCGTTTGGTGGAGTTGTCTGCAAGCTGGTGGGGGGAGCCTCCACCTGGAAAAATACAGGTGGCTAATGCTGCTGAGTGGGATTTTAGGGATACGAATATCTTTTCAATATTAGAAGCTTTAAATCAGTGGGCCTGGAGGTGATTCGTTTACCCCTCCAGTATTTAAAACTTGCTTGAATTCTAGTATTACCAAGATTTGTTTGTAACCTGGGCATCTTTTTGTCCTAGCCTCAGTGGAAGGTGCTCCTCAACTAAACATGGTCGGCCTCTTTCAAAGAATTATTGCTACAGAAGGAGTACGAGGACTTTACAGGGGCATAGCCCCTAATTTTATGAAAGTGCTTCCTGCTGTCAGCATCAGCTATGTTGTATATGAAAAAATGAAGCAGAACTTGGGAATAGCATGAAGTGAAGGAAAAAGGTGAGATGTTTCTAATATTATTGGAAACACTAGAACAGAAGCTATTTCTAAAGTAATCTGTTCTCACAATTAGAGATAGATCTCTGCAGAGATCCACAACTCTTATTTTTTTTCCCTAAAGTGGGAAGAAACTTCCTTAATTTCCAACTCACCATTTAAGATACCTATATTGCACTTTAAAATGTCACTGAATTTTTTTTAAAAAATCAAGAAACTATGTGTTTAAATCAACAATATGTTCATTTTTTCAGGAAATCATGCATATTTTACTCTTCCTGTTTTTCTTGTATTTGTCTTCCTGTATATTTGGATCAGATGAAACCAAAGGTAGGAGAAGCGTATACTGCCTTGATATTGAGTAAACAAAAGTGACTTTCTTGTGACACTGCCTATCCTCAAGCACAGGCAACACTTTGCACTTCTAGAAGTAAACACTTAGTACTGTGGGCTTTTTTTGATGATGATTTTTCAGAACTTAGGTTTAGATGCAAGCAAGGATGGAGTAACACATTAAAATGTAGGCCAGCATCTTTACACTCAGGCTGAACCTGTCTTTGATTTAAACCAGTAAGAATCTGAGAAACTGCTGTTCCATAATATTGGAGTACCTCAAATGGTTTGATATGGTATTTGTGATATACAGTCAGTTATTTTAACTTGCTTCATGGGATCTGCATTTGTAAGTGTTTGTACCACTAACCATGACAAGCTTTGGCTTACAGATGCCCATTTTATAGCATCATAATATATAGAAATAGAAGTTGTTATTGGTCCATTCTATGCAAACACAATTTATCTGTCAAAAATGAGTGAGGGATTCTTATTAAGGTGGTAAAGATGTTAGCTGTGTTTAAAGGAGGACACCATGCTTGTCAAGAGCTTGGAGTTTGTCACAGCTGCCTTGTTGGAAGAGGATTGCCTCATGTTGGACACTCCATTTTCTTCTCTATTCAAAGGGTTAAAAATCAAGTACATGTTTTTAGCCAATAGCAGATTGTGTTGTTATGAAAAGGTTTTAATCGGCTCGTGTGATGTAGCCTCTTTCCTCTGGACTGTGTGTTGGCTGTCTATGTGCAATTGGGATAATAAAGCATGGAAGCATTTTGAGTGACCAAGTGGAACCATTGAGCCATTCGTGTGCCTGCTGGGTTCATGTTGCTGAAGCAAACGTAGCATACATGGAGAAACAGTTCCTCATCCCAAAATGAAGAAGCACTTCCTCGCTGGAAAGGATAGGTATTTCCACATATAGCTATTTCTGAAGGGACTTCCTCGTTTGTTTTGGCACATTTCAGATGTCTTCAGACCTGAACCCTGAAACAGAGTAACAGCTGTTGCAGAACTGATTTGTTCTGCTTTCTGCATATTGTATGGTGTCTTGATTCTGGTTTCTGCGAGAATTAGTCTTATGTTTACCTTGACCTTCTAGAAGCTGCTTCTGTAAGACCGCTTCCTGAAATTGGGTTAGTGCAGGAAGAACTTTGTTCTCATGCTAAATCCTGTAATTTAGCCCTTGAGGGAAAAGGAGAATGAACAAAAAGAACTCCAGAGATTTGGTTCCGAATGCAGAAGAGTTTGAGCCATGTTCTTCAAATAGTCATATTAACAAATCTATCCTCAGTGCTTTTGTGGTTACAATTTATTCTCTGTAAATTGATGCATAATTATATATAATATGTCATCTGATTTTAAGTGACAGCTTTAGCTGCATCTTTTGAGAAACCTTGGACTTTGCACTTCGTCTGAAAAAAAAAAAAAGTCATTTTATCCAAATTGTCACATGTATATGAAGCCTTTCTGATCGAATGCCTTTTTTGCCAATATCCCTGTATCTGTATGGGATTTGAGTTGTGTTTCCTGGTTGTTGTGTTTGACTGTGACCAATGAGCAGTGTGTGGTACAGTGATGCCTGAAGCAGCACCCACATTCTAGACATTGTGTAAGTGCCATTATGAGTATTGACAATCATGGTGGTGATGTTTTCTGATCTTCAAAAGATGGAGCCATTCAGATTTAATTTTTCATTATGTGCCTTTACAGTGACTGTGTGTTCAAATTGTATATTCTTTGTCTGTCTATTAAGAAATATGTTTACCTTTTTAGCTCTATAATATTACCAGTTTCTAATAAATGGTGTTTCCTAATTGGGCTGGAGTGTGCTTGATCTTTCCTGGCCTCATAGGCAGACAACTGACAAGTTTCTTTATTGTACTATGTGGTGTTTGAAAAGCTAGTTTGAAATTTTGGAAAAAACTTTGTTGACTCTTTTGTTATGCCACTAGGACACTAGTTGGTTCAGAGCTCAATAGAAGATCACAAAATGTTCAATAGTTCAGGTTGTTTGGATAATATTATACTAAGATTTGCTTCAGTGTGTTCTGCATGGCAGAACTCTTATTCAGGACAAATGTTTGATGCTTCTTAATGCTTGTCTTGCTTTAATGTTAATCTTGTTTGTCAAAGGATCAATATAAAACCTGTTCAAGCTAATTGGCTTAGTTTACTCTGCATATGTAGCATGGTTTTCCAGCTAAAAGCATTTGCACTGACCCGCTTTGATTTATTTTGTGTTTTTCACATCAATCCTTTGAACATTGAAGATTATTGCCAACAAGGTAGGGAAGCTTTTCTCGTCTCTGACTGCTGCAGATACTGTCTGTGATGAGCAAGATTAGAAGTTTCCTTTCACATAACAGGCGAGATAAATTGTGTTTTGATTCCTGACTAAATGAACAGCCTATTCAGTTCTGTTTCAGAGAAGAATGATTTTAACAGGGAACTTGCCAACTTGCCATATTGGGAAGGCTGAGCTGTGAATATTAGAGAGCATGTGAGATTGTAGTTACTATTCTCCTGAAGTGATTGGCAATTTTCAAGCAGCATGTAGTGCTGGCATCTACTTTTCTGCAACAGAAGTATAGCACTGTCCTTCCCCAAGATGTAACACCAGCTTCTTAAAGGCTCCTGCAAATATGAAAAAATCGGCTAATTACCATGAGTCAGGTGAGAAAATTTGCTCTAGATCTGAGCTAAATTTTCCTTTTGAGGTTGGGAAGCCACCTAAACTGTTACAAAAGATAGTACAGGAATTTAATATGCTAATACTTGTGAATTTGTGTGCTTTTTAGCAGTGATGGGTCCCGATAGCCCTGGTACAACAGGTATAACCTTCCTTTGTAGGTAAGCCTGGGATGCTGCTTCACACCCAGGAAGGCCTGTGCTTCAGCACTGCTTTCCCAGATCTGCAGGTGTTTGTTGCTCACTAAGGAAGAGATAGATGTGACTGCAAGTTTGGGTGATTAAGAAGGATAACGAGCTTCTGATGCATACATCATCAGCATTAGCTGTTTTTACAGTTAGGAAGCAGTTTTTGTTAATGGGTTAGGAAAACAGAGAGATAGTAGAGCCAGGTTATGCTGTGTGGGTGGAGGACTCCAGAGATCCCCCCATGTGTGACCTGCCCGCACAGCTGCCTGCCCCTGGGATGGCAGGAGCCAAGAGCATCTCTGCTGTCACCCACCCCCTCGCTGGGGTGTCTGCACCGCTTAGCGCGGGCAGTGCACAGGTTTGGTGCTGCCGACCCAGAAAGCTCTGACTTTCATGCTTTTCCCATTTGCCAGTCCACCTGAGTTTGGTGAAGGATGGGCTGTCGTGCAACTTGGAGCCTGGTGCTGTGTAGGCCTTCTCCTCAGGGAAAATTTGAGCTGGAGCAGAAGCATTTTTCCTTAATTCTGTACTGTTTGCTGATGCTGCTATTCCTTGAAGTTCTTTTGTCTTAGACATCAAATACTGTTCACTGTTCCTGGGAGGAGTTTTTAGCTTATTGTTTCCCTCCGCTTCCCTCCCCCCACCTCTATCCTAGAGATAAAAGAGGAGACTTTTCAATTTTGTTTTTTTCCCCCCAAGAATAGTTTCTAACACCCATTCCTTGCTGTGAGGTGTTCATGTGCCTGGAATCTAAAGCTGCTCTTTGTGCAGTCTGGCACGGAGAGGAGCAGTGTGATCTGAGGATACAGGAGTCTGAGGATGGGGATTCTCGTCTTGGTCCTGCCCCCAACTGAGGTGCAGCGTTGCTCTGCCCCTCTGTGCCTGCTCAGCTCTTAGGTACTATGAGCCGAGCGCCTGTGCATCGCGTCCATCCCAAGTGACTCGTGGCTCTCCTCTGGAGGAAGGTCTCGTCCAACACGACCTCGCGGCACTTGCACGTCTCTCCCAGCAGATGCCCCTGCCGTGCCGGGGGAAGCTCCCCGCGCGCTGTCCCGGACGTGCGGCAGGTTGCCTACGGTTGTGCACGCGGATGCGTTCCTACATCTCGTGTAGCTAGTGAGTTAACTAGAGAGAGATCTCAGCAGGGCCAGCACCCTTGGGGCATTCTGCCAGGTATATCAGTCTCTGCATCTAGCATTTTTATTGTGGTTCCTCTGTGTTCTGTGAGCAGGCAGCAGACAAAAGGATTCGGTGCAAGTGGCTCTCTTCAAGCTGTGGCTTTTTAGGAGGATGCTACTTCTGAATGATTTAGAGAAAATTTTTCAGGGTCACGAAGTATCCGGCCAGTGAGGCAGTTCATAGCCATGGGTGTCTGAGCACACCAAGGTGTAAGTGCTGAGATGGAGGGTTGACAAGTAGGGGTGAGGAGGGAATCGAAGTGAGCGACTGAAATCTGAGGCGGAAGGTCAGGGAAATTTCCCTGGCATTGCAGAAATCTCCCCAAGGGATTCCTATTGCTTGAGACACTATTTAAAGAGACACTATTTAAAAATAGAGTAAATCTATTGCAGCACACATCACATACAATACCTTTCTCCTATAGCTTGCTTAGGGCTGAAATCGTCATGGGCTTAGAGAGGAGACCCCTAATGGCTCTCCCTTACTAGGCAGTAGGATAGTGTTTCTCATCAGGAGGATCTCGGTTTTTATTTCCATTTTCTGCTAGATTTTGAACAACTAAAATGTCTGAGCTGCACAAACCAGAGTCTAAAAGCTGCATATCAGCAAAGGTAAAGGCTAAATAAGCATCCTAGGCTTAAAGAGCCTGGAGTCTTATGCTCATAACCAGAGCAGTTTCTCATGAGGAAGCTTCAAGGCATAACTTGGTATCTCAGTGCTAATATGAAACAATTATGTGAATTGTCGTGAAGTAATTCATATGTTCAGCTCCCTAAATTTCCCATTGTGTTATAAGAAATAGGTCAAA